TTATTCTTGGCTTTTTCAGCCCTAGATTCCCTAGGTTTTCTTTGGCATTGCTTATGAGTGTTGTACCACTTAAGAGAAAAGGTCAAAATCATTTTGAGGCAAACATGCTCTTTTATCCTTGTTTATGACAACAGAATAGTGAAATTTAAAATTGTCCATTATGAAAGAATTAATAATGTTGAGACATTGCTGTCAGAACCCTTGAGTCCTTTTCATTTGGAGGCTAGTAACATGGCTCTGGCGGCCTTAATGGAGGAGCTAGTGTTGGCTTCTTATCTTGACCCTAGGAAGCATAGTCCTAAAACTGAGGATCATGTACAAGTTTCATAGCAGAGCTCATGGAATTCAGCACATCACCAGATTTCCATTTGCCCGTTGTCTTTTTTTTTATTTTAGCCTTTTTCCCTCTATTCCTACTACCTCTGAGTAGCATTGATGTTCTGCTGAAGTTGGAATCTGTGTTAAAAATTGACTTTCAATTTCTGATGTAATTGTTTATTAGGAATAGCTTTGATTGCTATGAAATGATTGGTATTTGTTCATTTTTTAAATTATCACTGATAATCATGAAATAGTTCACCTTCCTTTTTATCTGCGGCTTAGACAGTTTCAATGAACTGTCAAGCATTTGTGTGCAGCATCCTATTTTGCCCATCTGTATGGCATTTTCACTTGGAGGAATTGAACCCCAGGAACAGGGCTTGAGGAGAATGCGGATATGTTAGAGAAAGGAAAATAGGAGCTTTTTGCTCATGGATGAGAACGTCCACAAATCTAAATGAAAAAGAAAGCTCTCCATTTTGAACCCTAAATTCATTTTGCTGATGCAGTGCTGTGAAGATGACTATCAAAAGGAATCACAGCTCAGTTATTCCGTGTCATCTTTGGAAAGCAGCATTCCTGGTTAGTTTCTTTTCTCATTTTCTCCCAAAGAGCTGTTAGAGGTCTTGGAACAGAAAACCCACTGTGATGGGCTCAAGATTTTAAACTAGCTGAGCAGTTTCTTATGTTCAGCCAGTTTCTTGAGAAGGATCCAGTGGGAAAACCAGCAATAAAACATTCTGACATGCAGTTTTGGGGCTCCCATGTGACTTGCTTTTTCATCATGTTGAAGCTCTTGCCACAGCACAAGCTCTGTACCATCTGGGATGCTAGCATTCACAGCAGTTAGTGTGGATATCTGAGCTGTCTGCCACACCAATACCAGCCTGAAGAGATCATCATTTTTCAGTTTCGCCCAGTGCTTAATGACTGCCAGATTAATTGGCAGGAAGGAAAAGCACTGTGTGATATACTGAACAGGCCTGTGTGCATGATTAAGGAGTTGCTCAAGTAGCCGGTTTTGAGCTTTATTTCTCTCTTTAGTTAACAAATCTCAAGAAAGAAAACCTTTGTTACAGTTTAGCCAGTGTCATTTGGTTGGGGTTTATTTTCTAGCCTTTTAAAATAGGAAGAAAATTGTCTTTTCATGTTTAACTTACAACCCATACAGAATTACACTGGCATCAATTGTTTTCTCTACTTTAAAATTAATTATGCATAATCCCATGGGTCACTGTTTATCTACTTTGCCAAGAAATCCATGAGTTCTGGCATTAGAAGTATTTAATAATTTTGGAGGTGCCTGGGTAGCTCAGTCAGTTGAGCTTAGGTCTTGATTTTGGGGTTGTGAGTTCAAGCCCCACGTTGGGCTCCATGCTGGGCCTGGAGCCTACTTAAAAAAAAAAAAAAAAAAAGGTATGGGATGCCTGGGTGGCTCAGTAGGTTAAAACTTCTGCCTTTGGCTCAGGTCATGATCTCAGGGTCCTGGGATTGACTCATGCATTGGGCTCCTTGCTCAGCTGGGAGCCTGCTTCTCCCTCTGTCTGCCAGTCCCCCTGCTTGTGCTCTCTCTCTCTCTGACAGATAAATAAAATCTTTTTTTAAAAAAAGTATTTAGGGGCCCCTGGGTGGCTCAGTCATTAAGCATCTGCCTTTGGCTCAGGTCATGGTCCTGGGGTCCTGGGATTGAGCCCTGCATCATCGGGCTCCCTGCTCAGCGGGAAGCCTGCTTCTCCCTCTCCCACTCCCCCTGCTTGTGTTCCCTCTCTCGCTGTGTCTCTGTCAAATAAATAAATAAAATCTTTTTAAAAATTAAATTTAATTTAAAAAGTATTTAATAAATTTGGTTTATTCTATAGGTCTCCTTCATGTCTGGAAAGTGATTGATTAGAGAAGGTATCTAGAATAAGTCCAATTCCATTGCAGCTGGCAGAGCTTTATAAATTCCTTTTGCAACAAAGAGAGGATCTTACACCATCAGGGCCGTGCCATTAGATATCTGCTAGTGACTGTTTTAGCATCTTGCCTTGTGGTTGCTGTATTTACCTTTCTTCAGTTGCCTACGTTGGAAGTCCTAGGATACTCCACCTTTGTAATGGCTTAGCTCAATGTTACATATACACACTAGCCATACTTTTGAGAGCACCGAATATAAACTGTAAGACATACTAAGGTCAGTGTCTACCCGACCTCAAATCTGATAGCAGGATATCAGACTCCAAAATTTAAATATGAATACTCTTCTGTGGGGGAAGATACGTATTTTTAAAAGTTTTAGACACTTGGTCTTCCTTTTGAGATTTTTTTTTTCCTCTCCCAGAAAAAATGATTTTGGTGACTGACCAGTTGTAAACTGTTTTCTCCTTCAATTGTAAACCACCATTTAGAGAAATTAAAGTAGACTTCCTTTCTTTATGCATTACATTTAGCCTGGCCGAGAGATGCTGTAATTGTGTTATTCTTTAAGCTACCTTGCTTGACTTGTGCAAAATGTCTTGTGAAATGAATAAATTAATGTGGTATAGTATTAATTTTCCTTTATGGATAGCCTGCAGCTTAATTTTAAAATTGCAAAATAATGTGATATTTTTCTATGAGCAATTTCCTTTATGGAGATATATATATAAAATGTTTTTTTTTAAGATTTTATTTATTTATTTGAGAGAGAGAATGAGATAGAGAGCATGAGAGGGGGAGGGTCAGAGGGAGAAGCAGACTCCCTGCTGAGCAGGGAGCCCGATGTGGGACTCCATCCCGGGACTCCAGGATCATGACCCGAGCCAAAGGCAGTCACTTAACCAACTGAGCCACCCAGGCGCCCCTATAAAATCTGTTTTTAAAGAGATTCCTTCCCTGTCACCACTTCAAACTCTATGTACAGTTGAGTCTGCTGCCTCAGAATAAGAGTATGGGGTAGCCAAGATAAGGACCTTCTTGTCTTGGTCTTAGTAACAAACATTATTCCATCTTTCAAAAATGCCATATTTATACATAAGCAGCTTGGGAAAGATGTTACCATTTTTTTTAAGTTAACTCTTTTGCTTCTTTTATAAAGTAGTATTCAGTGGCCAGAAATGAAGATCCCTTCAAATTAGAGATAGATCCTCAAAACTGAAGTTGGACTGGAAATTAGATTGGGAAGAAAGATACAGTTCCATCCATACCCAAGAGTCTATCTTGCCGGGTTTGCTTATTAACACTGTGGACAGCTTCTTCTCTTTGTTAGACTGGAAACATAGTGTTTCCGCCGCTGGCTCATCTGAAAGTTGGAGAGTGTTAAATTTCTTTTATGGGACTTTTAATAATAACACTTATTGATATGTTTGTGATATAAAAAATGTTTATCATAGAAATTTAGGAATTTACTAAGTGTAAAGAAGGAAAACCACTATTAACTGATGAGACTTACTCATTTTGTTTTTCCTGACTTTCTTCTGTTACCCCGCATCATAAAGCCCAGAAAAAGTTAAAAAAAAAAAAAATGGACGCAGCCATTCTCATTGTGTTTTACTACACGTGAGGAAGAGCAGGATGCGAGCGTGCATCCCTGCCCTTACTTAGATCCCTTTAAGCACTGCCCCTTTCCAGACTGACAGTCTGAAAATAATTTTCTTGATATGTATCTTTTAAGCCTGAACTGTGGGTATAAAGTATTGCCCAGAAGCTCTAGGGAGCTGCCTTGTTCAGCTTCCTGGAAATATTATCTCTAAAACTCATTTGAATGTTTAAGCCCTTTATGCACCATTTATGCAGCTTTTTATGATGTTTGAAGCATATTCATACCAATGAAGAGCTTTCTGTTTCAGTGGACTTTTTAATATGACTATAAGTAAACCCACACCCAAAAAGAATGAGGTACTTTTCAGAGACCAAAGGAAAAGCAGAGAAAAACAAAGCAAAAACAAAACAGATGCACATAAATGTAAATAAGGAATCCTGTAAACAAGAGTTCCCTCACCATGCTTGAACAAATGTCTCTCCAAAAAAATGTATTTCTCTGCTCACCAGCTAATCAGTTGTGTATTTCATATGAGATTCCTTTTCTTAGTGTGTAAAGCAGAAAACTGGAAACTTTGAAGGTTTTGCTCTTTCCTTTTACTCTCCTCTTCTGTGGCAACATGGCTTAGGGCTGTACCCTAAAGGACCTAAATCAGAAATGGAAATCCTGAGGGAACTCTGGAATAGCAGGCGTGAGCTAGTTGGAGCTTTTAAACAGAAATGCTTTTGGGGCATCAGCTCTCTTCTCACATGATTGGTGTTCCGGGTCATTGTTGGATTGTGTTGGGAGTGTTCTGCAATCTTCCCCACTCCCCTCATGATCCTCTCTGGTTTATCTTATTTTTGCCCAGTCTGTATGGACTTTTTAGGTTTTTCCTTTTTCTTTTTTTTTTTTTTTTTTTTTTAGTACAAGTAATTTTCTGATCCCAGGTTTGGTGAATGTGTTAACACTGCTTTGTGAATAAATAAACGAGTGATCTGCTGAACGATTGCAATTGTAGAATTATGTTGTATGTAATGTACATATGGAGAAAGAATGTATTTTGTTCATTTTCTTAATAAAAAGTTATATATGGACACTACAAGATGTCTCATGTTTGCTGAAACTGCTTTTGAAGTCAACTTTTAAAATGTTTATGTACTTTATACTTAGCGTTTGTTGTATTTTTCCCCTCAAAAAGGTGAGTTTTATTCAGGCTTCCAAAGGTGGAGAATGATACCTGCTGTAGAAGGGCCCTTTGGTGTTTTCCTTTGAGACAGGGCCGAAATAAAGAAGTTCTGATGGATCTCACAAAGTTTCCTGGAGATGTTTCCATTTTTAAGGAACACTGGTAAAATATTTCATAAGATGGTGTCTTTTCTCTACCATTGATGTCCAGCAGTATTTGATCTGTTTTGTAAATTTGGACTGGTTGTTTCCCAGGTTTTCTTTAAGGGGGACATACTTAAATAAGTTAGGAACTAGAAGAAAGTTAATTGTAGAAAAGATAGTAAAGAGAGTTGGAGCTGTTGCAAAGTTTTCAAAAATTCTGGATCCCTGTGCCTAACAAAGGGGAAAGAAACTTTAAGGACTGAACCTTTGAAAAAAGAAATACAAAGATCATGGCTTGGTAGGGGGGAGTTGTGTGTGTTTCCCAGATGGGCTCGACAGGACCTCCTCTTGACCGTTTCCATCTCCTGGTCTCGTTTACATGCTTACTAACTTTGTGATCCTGCATTCTGCAGTGAGTTAGTTGTCAACCGATTTTATTCAAAATGGGGATTATAATCAAATAATCCCTGTTACTGCATAGCTCTCATTTCTAGAGTGTGCTTTGAACACTCTAGGTGTTCATCAGTGGCTCGTAAGTAACATTTTTGTTTTCAAAATAGGAAAACATGATGTGCAGTGATAAGGTAAGAAATTGGCCTTTCCTTGGGTTAATCCTCCAGAGATTTAACTCAAAAGGATCAAAAATGTGGGATACCACCTCCTCCCCCTTGATATATTTTGTCTTATGGCAGGAAGACAGCAAATAAGTCAAGAGGGCTTTGTGTTCAAACAGTTGGGAAGACACCTACTCACACACCGAGTGTGGAGACCTACAGCGGTTGGAAGGGCTACATGGAGACTCTGCTTACCCAAGGAGATAACCCAGCTCCAGCAGGGAAACGGCTGTGCCCATACCGACATTCTTAGAGAAGTCAACCACAGAGACGATGGAAATTGAAAAAATATTTTCCCTGTTAATGAAGGCAGTATTTTTGGTTTTTACACCACTATGAGTGGAAAGGCAAACTGCTGGCTATCCTGAAGCCTGGGTTAGTCCCGGCTTAGATGTAAATACTGGTGGGTTATGTTTCTTCTTTCCCTTAGCACCAAGATGCCACATCTTTTGCTGTTTTGGTGTCTTGGTAGAAGAAAAGGAAGAGGAGAAATTTAGCTTTCTGTCATATAGGGAAGGTGGGACAGTATAACACAATGCCCGAAACGTCCTATCATTCTTGCTCTGAAACTTCTCTCATGTTCACAGGGGACTTCCCCCCACTCTGGGCCCTCACCTAGGAAAAGCAAAGGCAGTTACATCCTTACCAGAAACGTTCTTATTACAGGGAAGAGAGGAAAGCTATGTTGAGGCAGCCTGTCCACTGTCGTGCTAGGAAGTTTTAATAGTTGGCAAATCCCAAGTGGGGAGATTAGGACACTAGGCAACATGTACAGCACACATTGTTACAGCTGCCGTCTGAACTTGGGCCAGAGGATGGGTGGCCCAGGGCAGAGGCAGGAACCCCACTAGGGTTATTTCCAGATCCACCAGGGACTTCTGTGGAGCCCTGGGCAGCCTCAAATCCTCTGCCTCACTTTCTCCATCTGACAAATACATGTTGGCAGCAGATCCTGTTTGCTAGGATCGTGTTGATTTTTTTAATCTGTAGAATGCCAAGGTCTTTGAAAAAGACCGTCTCAGTATTTATCACTTGTGTTAGTTATAATAGCCAGGCCTATTTTTTTTTCCCCCTTAGGCTACAGAAGAAATGCCTGGTTTGGGACTGAGCTTGCAGGACAGTGGAAATGTGAGTGACAGAGGCCTAACAAATTGAAAAAGGACTACTGAATGCTTCTTGGTTGGCAGTGCAGGGAACAGAGTGAATGACCTATTCAGGAAAAGAACAGAAAGCCTCAGGTCTAATTGGTGGCCAGCGATAAACTGTGAGCCATTCTCTTAGAAAGTGTGCCTCAAGCATGGCCAAGGAGCCTGCCCTGTTCCTGGTGCTTGTACTCTTTTCTGTATTCTTGGCACACTCCTGAAGTTAACCTCAAAACACCCCAGGCCCAACTCTGGCCCACTGTTAAGGGTGTTCACTGCCCTTCAGAATTCCCGTATAAAAGGAAAATCCTATTGGGGTGGGGGGAGAAAATTGTTGTAACAATGGTCGCATTGTAGAAATGTACTTTGTTGTTGGAACTCCCGCATTCATGTGGCATTGAGAAAAGAATGGGAGACTAAAGGGAAACGATATAGCTTCCAGGCCTCACGCTGCCACAAAAATAGCTGTGTCCTCTCAGAGAATCTATCTCTGTACCTAAGTTCCCTGTTGGTAGAGAAGTGCCCATCCCTAAGCAAAATTATGTAAAAATGTTTTGTGAACTGTAAGGTACCAGGCCCATAGAGGAGACTGCTGTATAGCAGTCTGAACGCGGGCCAGACTCATCGGACGGTTTCCCTTCCACAGTTCTGCAAGTTGGGAGCGGTAGTTTTCCCCTCCAGGGAGGAACAGACAGGGAGCGAATACCACCCTAGGAGAGGAGGAGAAGCAGAATCATTTGAGTGCTTCCTTCCCTGCACTTCCTCCATCTTCACGCACATCTCCAGACAAGGGACAGGGAGAGGCTTCTCGTGACAAGTAAACAGAGCCTTTTGTGAGCAGTAACAGGGCCAGAACAGAACCTCTTTATTTTTCGTACCTTTTGTCTCTACGCCAGTGTACTCACACCTGACCAGGGCTCCGGGATCTTTAGTGGTGGGTGACTCATTGTATCTGAGGCAGAAGCGGAGGAAAGGAAGAAGGTAGAACACTGACAAAGGTGTGAGGGAAAATTCAGTTATGATCACCGCAACAGCCCAAGATCCCCCTCAGGATCCCCCTCTTCCTTTCTTTGCAGCTTCCCTCTTTCTCTTTCCTCTCTGCACCCCACCCCCATCCCCCCAGTTGGACAGCACAGGGTAAGAGCAGGGGGTACTTCCGTGTCCTCGGGCGCTTCCGCCATGAGCCTCGAGCACAAGTGAAGAACATAGGCCAGTCAGTCAAGTTCAACAGGGCTTGAACCAGCTTACACAAAAGCACTTTAATTGACAGTATACAATTTTCCAAAATATAGTTCTGTAAGAAAACGGCAATAATTAAGTATAATCTTTACAAACAAGTTTCTCAGTAAATTCCAGTGTACTTCAGACCCCTGTCCACGAAGACACATGCTCCCCCAGTCTCCTGGGCAAACTGTTTAACATTCACTAATAACAAAAGAGACACACACACATCAAATAGTCATCCCCTCCCTTCCACTGGGTGTTGGGTTTTCACCAAACCCGAGCCAGTCAGCTCCTGACAGTGATAAAAGATAAGCCACTGCTTTACTCTTGCCCCCTCTGCCTTCCTAGAGCTTGTTCCCTTTGATCCTTGGTCCTGCTAGTAGAAGATCCACGTGTAAAAACTCCTTCAAAACTGTTTCTTCACAGAAAAGTATCACTCATTTAAGTCTTGGGCCTCAATAACTCTGAGGAAGTGCAGACCGGTCATGGTTCCTAATGTGGTCTCAGGCCCTCCCCAGCCTTGCTGCGGGACAAGATGTGAGGAGGGAATTCTGTTCTTTGTGTTATCCTGGTGCCTGTCCTTAATTTACTGATTCTTCTGAGGCCCACAGCACCGGTGTTTTAAATCCTGTTTCTGTCGCTAACCATGTGATTTTGGCTAAGCCACTTTATCTTTCTGGGCTTCAGTTTCTTTTTCTGTAAGAACAAAACAAAGATTGGGCTAGGTCTCTAAAAGCCTCTCCCTAGGGCTGGAGTGTCACATATGGACTCCAAGCCTTACTGTAATAGGCTGGGACTTAGCTGGGGAGGGGGGGTTGAGGATCATATTTAAAAATAAAAATGCCTGATCTATAAGACAAATACTTTGTCATCAGCTTGTCTTCTATTTCACTTTTCATTGGAGAAAAACAAAACAAAAAGAACTTGTCGTTTCTAGTGAAATAGACATTTACATTCCTTTTCAGAGGGAAAAAAAAGCCACCTCGACTAACAAATGTTTTTACAGTGTATATTCACTTAAAGCAGTACAGAGTGGATTAACATGTGGCTGTTGTATTTACATTATTAAAAACTATGTATATATGTATCAGCTTGTTTTTCAAAGTTTCTCCAGTATATTGTCAAAAAAGGTTAAAGCTCAAGTGGTTTAAATAAACTTCCTGCTAGCTTTCCTTATCATGAGGGAAAAAGAGAATCTTGCGTCTAGACTAGATTAAACCCGTATTCTGTCCTATGATGCAAAGCGTATTCTGTACCTCCTTCATAAGCACTGCTTGCTTCCCTCCCCAGTCACAGAACAGCGTGCTTCCCCACTGGGTTTCCATCCAGTCATCAGATTCATGATTTCTGGCCTTTTATGCAGCTTAGGGAAGCCAGTTTGCCGCTGATCAAAGTTTATAATCTCTCTTCGGCACAACCTGTTTAGAGTCATGCTGAGTTCCTGGTGTTCCTTTTCTTTCTTCTCAGCCCCAGAATCTGACTTACCAGACAGCATTTAGAACCCAGTGCAGACGTGGGATGAAGAGGACCTTTGCAGATGCATGGCTGTATGGCCCTGGACACAGATGTCTAGTGGCAAGAGCAAGCCAAGGCAAGGTATTGGATTCTGAAGTTGCCCTCAAAGGCTAGAGTCACCCAGTCTGGATGCACCCAAAGGAGCATCTGAACCAGCCCAAAGCTTCCCAAGGTTCTCCTTGGACAGAGCCACCACAATCATTCCTCTTAACCAAGTATAATTTTACTCTAGTCCCTGCCACACATCATCTCTCTGCCCAAGAGGCCATGGGGCTGTAGCCTTTGATCAGTTTGTGGAGGCATACTGGCTGTCTCTGTCCAAAGACCTGGCTGGCTGGTAAAATGTGACCCAGAAAGAGCAAAGGAGTAGAATCCAGTCCTGGCCTCTTCGAAGAAACCCACAGGGTGGAAAGAATCAAATGTTGGCCAGGAAGGAAGCAAACATCTCTTCCTGGTATGACAAGATTTCCTCTATTTTTTCCCCCCACACTGGCACTGTTCTCTACCCTGCTGACCTCCAGATGCTAGAGAATCAGGGCAAATACTTCTGGATCCTTGTCAGTCTGGCATCTCTCTAGCTTTTGGGAAACTCACCAGAGGCCCTACCTGAACACTAGGATATCAAAGGCCAAAGGCTATGAAGACGGAATCAAGGCAGCCAGGGAAGGACACAGATCTTCCCCCAGCTAAGCTCCTTTAAAAAATCAGCTGTCCTAAAGCAGGCTGCCTATTTCATCAGGACTCACAGCCTGGGCCTGCAGGTTCTGGGGTTCTGACCTCTTGCCCTGAAATTACAGTTTTCACTCTCCTAAGCAGTTCTGCCCGTTCCCCTAGTTGGTGCCAGGAAATTTCACCCAGGAGCAAAAGAGACTGTGGGCAAAGTTCCACAAAATCTGGGATTTGGGCTTCCCAGAAAATCAGATTAAACCTCACTCTGTCCAGTCCTTGGGTGCCTTCTGCTTGGGAGCTAACTGCTAAGCTCCCTCAAAACCCCTTCCCGGTACTGCTTCCCTGAGATGCCACCAGAAACTGCAGAACTTTGGCAGCCCTGCTAGGAACACAGAGAAGGGGACACAGCAAGGCCCAGCTGTGTGCCCGAACAGTGAGAGGTCATTGGGAACCCCACAGCCCCACCCCGCCCCGGGTGCTCCTAAGCACTTTAAAATGCATCGCACTTTCTAGGCCTTTCTGGCCCTACGGCACAGGAGAACTAGGAGTCAGTGAGATTAGTTAACTGGAAAAAAAAAAAAAAAAAAGTCTCCCAACAATTGGAGCTTTGGCTCGTGGCAGTAGAGGGCTGGACTAAAAAACAAATACAACAAAACTCTCAGCAACTTGAAAAGTCCCTGAGTTTCCTATGGAACAGAGAGTAAAGCCTATCCTTCCTAACTGTATCGATCGATTGTCTGGTAAGACACCTCTGTGGACTGGGCCCCGGGAATGTCTGCCCTACAGCTACTGCTCTTTCTTGCTGGGTCTCGGGGGGAACTCCAGACTTGGGTCCTCACCCCACCAACTGAGCAGTGAACGACAAAACAGGAACACTCAGCCTTCATAGCCGCTGCAGATTTCAGTCCCCGGTGGGAGTGGGAGGCCAAAGGAGTTCCTGCCCTGGGTGATGGGCCAGGACCCATCCTGGGGGTGAAGGGCCCCCCCTTTTCTCTTCACCTGCAGAAGGATCCCTGAAGCCGACCTCGTTCACACTGAAGTCTTGTGTGGGTTAGGTCTCAAGATCCCTAAGCAAATGCAAGGAGGCCAGAATCCAGAACGGGGGGTTCGAGGCCGTGAACGGATGGATGGTGGGAGTCCCAGAGGCCCTGGGACAGAGGGGGACTACAAAGTGAGTGGAGGGCGGGGCGAGCACAGAGGGGACGGGAACCCTGGCAGGCGAGGCTGGGGACCTCTACTTGGAAGGAATCCGATCCCCCGGAGGCAGATCTGGCCCTGCTGTCCCTTCCATTCCATCCACTGAGCTTCGCCCCACCGGGGAGAGCTCTGAGGGGAACGCGCACCGCTCTGAATGAGGGGGTGTTTGTTTCCATCCTGCCTCTGTTGCCAAGGGGCTGTGTGAGCTGGACCTTACCCCCATTAGGCCTCAGTCACCTCGGATGCGAGATGAAGGGATTCTACTAGATGACCATGTGGGTGGTTCTCCCTCTCATCTTCCAGCAGCACTGAGCTCAGGCACTAGTGGGTTATTTTACAAGAGGAATCTAGACAGAATGTGATTTGTTCAGTTTGGTGAAAAGGGAAAATTAAGGCCCTGTGGGGATTGGGAGGAGGGGACCTCCAAGTCTGCTTCCCTCCCCCGTCTTTCCCTCAACTGGGAAGGATTTTCCTCCCCTGTCCAAATGGCACTTGAGGTGGTTCAGTCTGGAGCGCTGTGGTCCTGTCGGAGGCTGCCCGCGGACCTGATTAGAGGTGCGTGTCTTCCTCCTCGTCTAGGTCATCCTTGGCCAGGTTGTCCAGAGGGACGATCCAGCTGTCCCCCAGCTCCCCATTGAGGTTGACCACCTTTTTCTCTTGCATCTCTGATGAGGTCTCCATCACTTCCAGTGTGGGATTGTCATGGTAACCGTTCTCCACTGTCTGCAGCTCCTCCGTTAGCCGTTGCTAGGACAGGGAACACGAGCCAGGAAAGGGTGATTTTTGAGGGCTCGTGGCCTTCCTATTACACAGGTGCCCCTACAATCCAGGAACCCCAGTCGGGTAGGGTGTGCAGTAAACGCTCTGGGAGGCCATCGTGGTTACTGGCCTGCCTCAGGATTACTTTGAAACGGGGACTTGCCCGGCATCCTAAAATGCCCAGCTCACTTGACCTTTACCCTGTGGGCAAATCCGTGAAGTCAGCGTAAATGGACTTTTATTTTCCAGAAGCCTCCAGTCTCTTTCCTCCATCCCCCCCCCCCCGCCCCCACCACCCACCCAAACTTACTGTCCGGGCACCCGCCTCACCCCACTGTACTGAGTCAGGAAAGACTGTAAGAAAACGACTTTCATCAGGTCGGGGGACCGAGGACCTCTCTCAGCCTAAGCCAGATGGGTACCATCTGTGCCACAGAGAGGAGCCAGGAGATAGTGCTCTCCCTGGTCTTTATCTGACCTACAACCTGGCTCACAAAGTCGAGTCACCCGGGAAGCTTTCGGCAAATACTCAGATCCAGAGATTCCATTTCAATTGGTGTGTGTGGAGGCAGGCATGAGAATTTTCCTAACTGCCCCCGCGGTGCATGGCCAGGGCTGAGAACCACGTGTCTGGGTGCGGCTGGCCTGGCGGGAAATCGGACAAGGTGGGTAAGGAACTTCTGGTTAGCCAGGTATGCCTCGCCCATTTCTTTCAGGGAATCTTCAGCACAGCTCCGCAAGGTGGACATCATCCCCACATGCAGATGAGAGGCTCAGAGAGTACAGGCCGGGCTCAAGGTCACACCGGTAACCAGAGGCAGAGCAAGGGCTTAGCCCCGGCCTTTCTGACTCCAGAGCCCATGGCCTTCCCTCCCCCCGCACACCTCTTCAGTTTGCCATGGAACTTTGCAGTTCCTTCCTGTAAGGGATGGCCTTCGCCTGTCCGGAAGGGCCCAGGGCCCACTCACTTTCCTCTGGCAGGGTGGTAGTGGGGTGAGGTGACCTGGCGCACGGCTGCTTCCCCAGTGAGGGCCGCGGAGTCCTCACCTGGTCCTTCCTCTGGGAGAGGCGCTGGTGGCAACAGCCGTACAGGGCCGCAACGAGGAGCAGGAAGGATGCCATGCACACAATGGTGATGATGAGGGGCATGCTGAACCGGTCCTCCGTCTCTTCGGGTGGCCCTTGGTTCCCAAACTTCATGTTACTGACTCCCACCTGCCAGCAAGGAGGACGTTATGTGGCAGACAACAGAATGCGGGTCACTCCCACCCAGTTATGAGCTCTTCTGCTTGGCGTTTGTGGGGGCCTACCCCGTCATCACCCTGCTGTCCCCTAACCCTCCCGTCTTCTGGCTGCTTGCAAGCAGGAGGTTCTCCCACAGCGAGAGATACTGCAGAGCAGAGCAACTGTAGGCTTCTGAGGAAGGGGCTTCTGCCCCGCACATGGAGGAGTCCACTTACCTCTTTCAGCTCGTCCCACTTGTCCTTCAGCGATTCATACGCATCCCTGGGCAGGAGCTTTGCTGTGGGGAGAGAGACGCTGCTGGTGGTCCAGCTCAGAGTGATGTGTAGGGGATGGGGACTGGGCCCCAAGAGGAGGACGCGCTGTACCTCAGTCTCCCGAGTGCGGTCTCTCTTGGGTGGCCCTGGGAGGGGGCGTGGCCTGACCCTTCTGAGGAAACACCAGCCCTGACCCATCTTCACGGCTCCTGAGCGGTCAGCCCCTGCCCCGTTCCCACCCCACTTAGACCTCAGGACCCCCTACCCTCAACTCACTCTGGACAGCGATTTCTTTGACTGCCACTGCCTGGGAGTCTTGAATAGGTACCAGCCGTATATGGCACTTATCTTGAGCTGGGTTGAAGGCGGCTTTTGCTGCTCGGCACAGAAGTGTGACCAGTTTGTCATCCGAACTGCTGTTCCCCGCCTATTGTGGGGAGACCACAAGTGATTCCTCAGGGATCAGGACAGCAGCCTAGGCTGGTGGGGCTGCCCTTCAGAGCCAAGGTCAGGAGAATGCTGCTGCCTGGTGTGAACCTATTTCCCGCTTCCCTCAACTGGGGCCACTCCCAGGCCTGGCAGGAGTCACAGGTTATGTGCTGTGCTGGGCCAGTCCCTGCCTTCTCTGACTAATGCAAATCTCTTCCCCTGGTCCCCTCACGCTGTTTATCTCGTCTGTGCCTGAACAGGATCTTTCACCTGAGTGCCCCCTTCGCTCTCAGAGCTCTTCAGGGGTCATGACCTGATGCCCTTCTCATCTCCCCAGAAGGGCCTGAGGCGGCGCTGCCCAGCAGCCTGCCACTTGCCAGACCTCAGGAGGTGAGGCCCCAGCTCTCAGCCCAAGGTTATCTTTCTGAAAGTTGAAGCATGCACGCCCTTCCCTAGACTAAGACTCTGGCTGCGAAGCCAGGGAAGGCCACCACTAAACAAGGGGACATGGGAGTGTCTTGAGGATGCACGTGGGGACGTCTTGGAGGGGCATCGTACCCCTCAGCAGACAGAACACGGCTGACACGGCTTTAGTGCTGAGGGCGAGGAAGTGAAGTGTGGACAGATTTTACCTGGTCCTGCCATGTCATCTAGAGACACCCCAAGCTGTGTTTCTCTGACCTGATTTTGGAAGAGGGTACTGAGGTGAAGAAAAGGACTCTTGGTGTGGCTCACCTTGGGACCCCAAGCCATCCTGGGGTTTCTATCTGGGATTTCCTAAGCTTACCAATCCCTCTGCCACCAACCTTCCTTTTATGGCACACAGAAAAAATGCTTCTCCCAACCAGTCACACAACCTGGCAAGTTTTAGCCAAAAAGAGAGCCTGAGAATGGCTGGGCATGCAGCAGTGTGATTCCTGCCTTGTCCAATAAGCCCAGCCCCAGGGCAGCACGGCTCCCCTTTAAAACTCCAGTCTAAATGCATGCTTTTGGAAAAATCCAGCAAAATGGGTATTCAGAAGAAAACAACTGTAAAAAAAAATACAGGCGGCATTAAAATGCTGTAAACCCAAGTTCTCCATCCTTTAGAAACCCTGTCGTTCCGTTCTACTTCCTAGGGGGTGTTTGCAAAAGCAGCCACTGACCAGGAGAGGGCAGCCGTGAGCCACCCATCACCGGCACTCAGGAAGCCCCTTAAACCTCAAAGACTGGCTGGCTGAAGCAGCGGTGGCAGCAACAGCTCCCCAACATAGCACTCCCTCTCATGCAAATGCCTCTGACACAAGCAGACACTCCCACCCTAGCGCACGCGCGCGTGCGTGCGCACACACACACACCACCCCCTTAGTGTGGGCAATGCCTCCTCAATGCTCAGGAGCTCTGACCCCTCAGGGCGAGAGCGAGAGTATCTCCATGCTGTTCTTCCACTGAGACCGTCAGATGAATACATGGACCAGCAAACAGAAAACCACAGACTATTAGGACAGGGAAATTTGGTTAGGCTGACTGAGCCTCTCGTTTTCAGCCGGGGCCTCTGAAGCTCAAAGAGATCAACTTAACTAAACCACAGCCTGAACTAGGATTGAGGTCTCCAGACTCTGGGAACATGTGAATAATTACAGAGGGCAAGCCCAGGAGACCCAGGGACTTCTGGCCCTGCAGCAGCCCTGTGGGACTTGACTTAGGGGAGTCTGAACTTCACTTTGTCTATCGGCTGGAAGGGGCCACTTCCCACGGAAAGAGCAAGGGCAGGAAAATGAACACATTTCTCAGTCCGTTTTCAGAAGGAACACTCCATTCCCTTCTACCTTCCCTACCTTCCCTTCCCTTCCCTGCTGCTAAACCACAGTTTGGGGGTGTAGATCAGGGCGGAGCCTAGATCAGCAGGGTACTCACACAGAGGCTGGTTTTCGTTAAGTTCAGGATGAGCATCTTGTCAGTTAGCCTTTCGGGAGATTCGCACTTTATCTAGAAGAAGAAGCCACTGGGATTCAGGTTCAGGCTGAGCGTGGCGGGGTCCCATCACTGACCCCTCCCTTCCTCCCCCCAGGGTGGGTGACACAAAGGAAGGAGCTCCTGGCAAGCTGGGGGTGTGACTGGACAGAGTTTCAGAGCCAGGTGTATTACTGGCCATCCAGCTATCTAAGCCAGAATCTGGCAAAGCCAGAGAGAGGAGGTGATTGGATGACGGTTCCTAACAGCCCTCGCCAGGGGCTCTGGGCTGGAGGGACGAGTAGAAACATTTCTTAGAGCCCCTTCCATCTGAGCCTGGGCTCTCTTATCTGTCCCACCCCTGCTGGAAGTACCCTGTCATCCCCATGAGCCGAGGGAGGAGGAGGGATGTTGGAGACTCGGGGGGCAGTTGAAGCCAACTGAGTGCTGGGGCTTCTGGATCCCTCGACAGGAGACGTGGCCACAGGTCCCGATGAAGGGCCTGCAGGCTGTGGAGCCTCTGACGAAGAGGTCCCAGGAACAGAGGGAGTCCCAGTGGCAGAGGAAGGGGTCCCAGTGGCGGAAGAAGAGGTCCCAGTGGCGGGAGAAGAGGTCCCAGTGGCGGGAGAAGAGGTCCCAGTGACAGCCGGCACCATGCTGGATTTCTGCAGATTTCCTTCTAAGGTAACCAGTGATGCTGTAATTGAGAAAGCAAAAGCTCTGAGAAAAGAGGAGTGGTACCTTTAATAGCAGAGGGCAGTCTCTCTTGTTCTTAGTTCCTGGGGGTTCTTTGGCCTTATCCCCCACCTAGACCACAAGCTAAAGTAAGCAGGCTATGAGGAAGAAGAGGCAAACCGACGAAGCCATTTCCTGTACCGTATTCCAGGTTGGGTCAGACTGGACAAGCCAGTGTGAGACCCGATAAAAGAAGTCACAGTGACAGTGACATCAGCAGCAACAGCCAATACTCAACGGGCACTCACTGCCTCTGGGGGACTGTCCTCTGTGCCTCCAGGGTTACCTTCTTAGTTAATCCTCACAACACCCCGACGAGGAAGGTACCATAAGGAACCCTCATTTACAAATAAGCAAACTGGGCTCAGAGGGGCCTGATGATTTGCCCAAGGTCACATGTGAAGAAGCCGCACATCAGGAACTTGAATCCAGGTGTATCCAGCTCAAGAGCCCTTGCTCTGACTGCAGGATGAGACCTCCTGCAGGAGAAGCAGGTGCACTTAACATCAGGATGCATTCTGACCCCCTGTGGAGTTCTCGACAATGCAGACACTCAGGTCCACACCGAGAAATTCTGATTCAATAGAGATCTGCCACGGGTCATGTTCGTGAGGCTCATGATCCATCCGTGCATTTTAAAATTTATTTACTGGGTTAAGATCAGCACTTTTAAAAAGGAACCAAGGAAATGGGATGGAATAGAAAATACTAGGGCCCTATCACATATGGTAAAATCAGCCCTGGTTAGTGAAACTTTTGTTACCAGTTACACGTGTTGTTACGCGAGTGTTCTACATTTGTATTCCTGGATCATGGTGTCAAACTAAATAAAATGTATTTCCTACTGGAGACTGCCAGTTTGGGAAACACTGTTCTGAGTACTAATGCCCCGCCACTGCAACCACCCAAGTCTTACCCAGGAATAGACTGTTGGCTTATGGGTTCAACTGGGCAGGCCAGAACACCGGCCCCCCAGCAGAATAACACGGCCCTGTTGGCCTCTGCTTGGCACTGAAGGGGGAACCTGAGCCTGAATGGAGGTGGGGTATTCACAGAATTTAACCCTCAGCATGAATTCCATCTTCCAGCTGAGCAACTGTATGGAATGTAAGCATTCAGAAGTTTCTTCTTGCTTGGGGGGGAAAAAAAGACATTACCTGGGGCACCTGGCTGGCTCAGTCAGAAGAGCATGTGACTCTTGATCTCGGGGTGAGAGGTTCAAGCCCCACGCTGGGTGTGGAACCTACTTAATTTTTAAAAAATAAAAGAAAAAAAAAAGCATGACTTACGTGGTGTGGTAGGTGTCCCGTGTAACGTGGAGCTGGGACCCGCCTTCGTGCCTAAACTACTTGGAGCTACTGTAGGGATTTTGCTTGGTCCCTCAGGAGGGCTCCCTGGAGGCTTCGAAGTAGCAGGGTTTGCACTTGGTTTGTAAGGGCCTGTTGGGGCGCTGCCAAGGGGGAGAGCAGAAGCAGGGCTGAGGGTGCTAACCCGATCTGGGGACGGAGAGGTCGCCTGCTTCTGGCCCTCAGTGGTCATGTAGCTGGTGGTAACACCCGGGCTACCCTGGGCTCCAGCTGTCTGACTCTTCACGGTTTCAGACTGCATGAACTCAGCGGGTGGGCCAAGTGTCGTCTTGTTTAAACCTTGAGGCTCCTTCGTGCCATCACTAGCTACGCTGGGCTCGCTGGAGGCCTTCGCAACTTCATCCGTGGGCGCGACAGCTGCGCTTTGCCCGCCCGGGGCTAACGTGGGCCCCGAGCTGCCGGGCACCGTTGGGGGTATTCCGCGGGTGGCCTCTGCCGTCACCCTTTTCTCAGTCTGTCTTGGAACTGCGCTTGCTGTAGTCTGGTCTGTGGCACCCCCCACCTCACCGGCTGCTGGCGCCAGAATGGGCGCGTTTGGGGTTGTAGGTTTTGTGGTGATGGCTGGGTCACTTCTGGTCTTGTCGTCTGTTTACAAAGACAACACAGAAGCGAGTTAGGCTATTAGCTGGGAGTGTTTCTCTCCACTCTTCTCCAACTCTTCCCCAGGATCTAGAGGCCTTGCTCCCACCACTGCCATCTGCCTTGGCTGAAGGCCTGGGTCTTCAATGTGCCCAGATTTTAGGAAGTTCAAGAAACCTCTCAGGACAACGAGAGTGAAGCAGAGGAAGTCAAGGGAAATTGTGCAGAACAAAAAGGGCAGGCCACCTAATCCCAGTGCATGTGGAAGCCTGCAGCCAATGCCCTGCCCCTCCCCCCATCCAGCGCCAGGCCCGCGCACCCTTCACAGTTTCCACATGCCACCACAGAGCCAGGCCGCCCAGATCCCCTCTGCCCCCTTCTCCCCAGCTCCCAAGCACGTCACCCTGCAGGGGACGCAGCAGACTCATGCCTACTGAACTGCCCTGTCGTAGGCATGGCAAGAGAGACATGCCTCTGTCCTGAGGGAAGTATAATCTAGAAGGAGAAGCTGACAACAGTGATGCGCCAAGGAAAAGAAGCACAGTGTGCTTTGACTCCGTTCAGCATGGTAGCTTAACCGTAGCAGGAGATCAGGGAAGGAAGGCCTTATTAATTTTATTCATTTGTTTAACAAGTTCTTTATGAAGGGAACTGTTAAGTGTGGGCCCTAAGATACAATGGTAAGACACATATGATCCAAACCCTCGGGGGGCTCATCTTCTGGTGGGCAAGACAGGAATTAAGTGGGACAGAACAACTAAACATCAAATCCTGGAGACTGGGAGAAATGAACGAGAAAACGACACACAGAACAGGGGGTGGGGGCTGTTTAGACAGGGAGGTGAGGGGAGGCCTTTTAGAGATGCCCATTCAGCTGAGACTTGAAGGGTAACGAGAACGGTGTGGAGAGCAGGAGGAAATGTGGCCAGGCAGAAGAACAGAGCCTGCAAAGGCCCCAGAGCAGAGAGCTAAGAGAAGATACGGGGGGTGCACAGAGTTTAGTGGGGGAGGGGGACAGGGAGCAGGGCTCAGAAAATCAGGGCCTTACAGGTAAAGGGCCAGGAACTTACTGTCCAGAGCCTACGTTTTTGAGAATAAAAGGAGACTCTCTTAAAATTCATATCCTAGGGGAGCCTGGGTGGCTCAGTTGTTAAGTGTCTGCCTTCGGCTCAGGTCATGGTCCCAGGGTCCTGGGATCGAGCCCCGCATCGGGCTCCCTGCTCCGTGGGAAGCCTGCTTCTCCCTCTCCCACTCCCCCTGCTTGTGTTCCCTCCCTCGCTGTGTATCTGTCAAATAAATAAAATCTTTAAAAAAAAAATCATATCCTGGATAAAATGAGACATAAGATCACCCTCCAGTAAAGATTTTGGACTTTACGTGCAAAAAGAAGCCACTGAAGGTTTTAAGCAAAGAAGTTTTATAGGGTGATTTGCAAAGAAACACATTTGCTGCTCTGGGGGCTGTGGATTGGAAGGGAGAGCGTGTGGAATTGGGGAAGAAAGAGGCGAGGGCAGTAATCCAGATGGGATGGATGGTGGTCAGCTGTACGAAGTTATTGACAACAGAGACAAAAAGAGAATGGATCAAGATTCTATTTGGGGGGCACCTGGCTGGCTCAGTTGGTAGGACCGTGTGACTCTTGATCTCAGGGCTGTAAGTTCAAGCCCCATATTAGGGGAGAGCTTACTTTTTAAGACTGTATTTTGGAGACAGAATCAACTATTGATTGACTACTAAGTGACAAGAAGAGAGCAATCAGGATTGTTCCTGGTTTTCTGTTTGGAGCAGAAGGGAGAGAGTGGTGGGAAGAATGTAGTAGACCTTTACCATTTTTTTTTTTAAAGATTTATTTATTAGAGAGAGAGAGAGAGAGAGAGAGAGAAGCGCATGCGCAAAAGTTGGGGGAGGGGCAGAGGGAGAAGAAGGCTCCCCGCCAAGCAAGGAGCCCGACGAGGGACTTGATCCCAGGACCCCAGGACCATGACCGGAACCAAAGGCAGATGCCTAACCGACTGAGCCACCCAGGTGTCCCATGGACCGTCACCATTCTTTGTAGCCAATCAGAATCTATGCCATTTTTCCCTATTTGGGGAACTCCCCACATAATACAACGTTGATGGCAGCAGGATTTGTCTCCTCCTCACCTATTATAGATACTAAAATGACTGATATTTCCTTTTCTAGCCTCCCTTGTAACTAGAGCAGAAGCACGTGCTTAAGCTGTCCTGAACTAGACACTTCCATCCCAGCCAGGGAGTGAAGAGGCAGTAGATGATGAGGAACGCTGACGGCAGTAACTGTGACATCATGCTCAAGTGCAAGCAGCAGCGGAGGGGACGCTAGCTAGAGTGAGGATCCACAGCCAGCCCTACAGCACCTACTGCTTGGCACTGCTGAGCAGCACCAGCCTCTTTGGACCACTTCTATAGCCTAACTTGGGGTGATATTAAAAGTAGCCCTAAATGTGGTCTCCAGCAATCCCGGTTCCTCCATAAGCTACACAGTAACCCAGTATATTTTACACGTGCGTGCACACACACACAATTTTGCTGCTGAAAAGCAGAAATTTGTATCAGGAGTGGTTGTAAGCAACAGGACTTCAAGGATTAGGTTTTGGGCTTTATTGGGGTTAAAAGCAGAATTCTGCAAGTATTAGGGGACATGACTCTAGTATCCTATGGCATCTTGTAGAGAAGCAGTTACATTATCACCTGTCATCTAGAATGAAGTGCCCATGAAGTGGCTTTGGTATTTGCTGACACAGAAGAGTATGAAGGGCACACATAAACGGATATGTGTTAAAAATCAATGTACTATTATGGTTTGTCAGTGGTTTTTCCTTCTTAGTAGTCATAAAATAGTGGTGCTTCTTATAATTGATCATGTCATAATACTTTTTTGACAAGAGATGAGATTGCTGAGGGGGGATACCAGCATATGTGAGGAATTAGGGGATGTGCAATAGGGTGGTCACTTCTTACTGTGGTGAATAGCTTAAAACAGGGTTTCTTAAACCTCAGAACTACTGACATTTTTTTGGCTATTTATTTGTTATAGAAGGTTGTCCTATGCATTATAGGATACATAACAATATCCCTGGTCTCTATCCAATAGATGCAAGTAACATATACACACATCTCTCCCCAGTTGTGACAAACAAAAATGTCTTTATATATTGCCAAATATCCCCTGGAAGAGACAAAACCACTACCAGTGAAAACTGGCTTAAGGAAAGAGAATTACAGGGGTGGCCTGGATGGCTCAGTTGGTAGAGCATGCAACTCTTGATCTTGGGGTCATGAGTTCAAGCCTTAATGGTAGGCGTAGACCTTACTTCAAAAAAAAAAAAAAGACAACAAATTCTAATTCCTAAATCCTACTATCAAAGCACAGACTGAAAACCAGAGGCTTTCTGAAACTACAATAAAGGAATCTCTTGTTTGCAGTTGAAGAGCAGATAAGACCAAAAGACAAATGTAAAAGTTTGATCCCATGAGTTGCCAAGTTACAGTGTTAGTTTAATTCATAACTTCACCAGGTCTCTCATGTGAAAAGGACCTTGGGAATTGTAATGGTGACATATGAGAGGATGCAGATGAATCAGGGTATCCATAAGTCTCAATCTGCAGTGGAGCTCACTTTGCCCGTATCCTCAACTGCTGCTCTCCTGCCTGCTGATGCCATTCCTGCCTTGCTTGAAAACTCTTAATAGGCTCACCTGAGCTCACTGACACAGAATGCCACATCGCCTCATCATCTCTTCAACTCTTCACTTTTTCCAAACCTATAACAATAATCAGACTCCAGTGTGCCCAGAAAGACAAATACAGAGTCTGCCCCAGAAGGAGGCTTACACACAGAAATATCTGTAATAACTCTAGCAAATATGTATGGTTATACAATATGAGTGTGCTAGATCAAGGACGGGTAATGATATCAGGTTGAATCTATCAATATGGGTAGGCATACCAGAGATTTTAGATTCAATATGCTGACTTAAGCAGTTAGAAGTAGTAGTTCTAGGGCGCCTGGGTGGCTCAGATGGTTAAGCATCTGCCTTTGGCTCAGGTCATGATCCCAGGGTCCTGGGATCGAGTCCCGCATCGGGCTCCCTGTTCCTTGGGAGCCTGCTTCTCCCACTGCCTCTCTCTCTCTCTCTCTCTCTGCCTCTCATGAATAAATAAATAAATAAAAAATCTTAAAAAAAAAAAGTAGTAGTTCTAATTGTTTTCTTAGTTGGTGAACTGAAACCTAGACTCAATCATAGTCTACATTAAATAAAGTTAAGTTGCCAAAAATTCCCTGGAATAATAAGAAATCCGAAATCTTAGAGGGATACAAGTGTTAGAATGGTTTATCATGGGGGTGCCTGGGTGGCTCAGTGGTTAAGCTGCCCCACTCTTGGTTTCGGCTCGGGTCATGGTCTTGGGGTTGTGGGATGGAGCCCCACATTGCGCTCTGTGCTGGGCATGGAGTCTGCTTCAGATTCTCTCTCCCTCTCTCTGCCCCTTCCCCACCCTGCTTGCACGTGTGCTCGCTCTCTCTCATTCTCTCTCTCTCAAATAAATAAATCTTTTAAAAAAAGAATGGTTTATCATGTGTAATCTGCTCACTCACACTTTTTTCCTTAGAAAAGCTCCAATGACACCTGCTTCACCAAGGCTTTGAGAACTACTATATTTCTTTTTTTTTTAAGATTTTATTTATTTATTCATGAAAGACAGAGAGAGAGAGGCAGAGGGAGAAGCAGGCTCTCAAGGAGCAGGGAGCCCAACGCGGGACTGGATCCCAGGACCCTGGGATCATGACCTGAGCCGAAGGCAGACGCTTAACCATCTGAGCCACCCAGGCGCCCAAGAACTACTATATTTCATGAGTTCTAAGATGCATATGTTTTCATGTCTGTGAAATGAGGATCTTTTATAAGTTACTATAGATCACACTTTGACAGTGTTCTTTTGTTTTTCTAAGTGGTTCATAAAATTAATAGTTCCATCTTATCATTG